TAAATTATCAATAATTATTTGTTCGCAGTTAATAATCACTATGTCGTTGATCATTAAACCATTATTCGATTAAATAATACGTCGAGCTCTCGCAAAGTTAACTTAGTGTTTATGTCTCGGTTGCTGGCGGAAATAATTTATAAACGAATAAGTTAAAATGAATCACGGTATGTCGAGCGGAAAGCACGTGTATCGCAATGCAATTTTTGGAATTACCGGCTCGTAAATTCCGACGAGAGTATTTCCTGTGCGTGAGCGTGTGTTTCGCACATTCTGTCTCTCCCATCCTCCCGTACCTCGCCTACGATTACTAATCGCTCGTGTCTCGTCGCACGTATACGAGGGCGAAAAGCATCCCCTCAGGGCTGTTTGTTTTTGATACGGTTTTCATCGAATAGCGTCGTCGCGATAGATGTTTGATGCTACCTGCATGCAAATACGACTACGTCTTGCTTATAAAAAAATGTGCTACTGTATCGCATATTCTTGCTAACGAAATTCACGAGTGTTGTAATAATTTCATGTGTTTTTATTTTACCGCATAGATTTGCCCTTAAATTTACTCCTATAATTCTAATAATAAATTTTTTTATTAATTTGAGAAAATTAATTAATTAAATTATATTTAAAAAATGCTGTCCTTGACGAAGCATTACATGAAAAAAAAGATCGCTGCCCATGCGAGAAAGAACCAGTCGTGATTGTCAAAAATCGACATACGTGATTGGTGCGATTGTTAAAAATCCGATGACGCTGACAATGGATGATCTAGCATTGCCGTGATAAAAATGCTGATCGCGTCTTTTTTTTCCATTGATAACAAAATTTCTGTTCAGCACGTTTTTCCCATTTTAACGTTCATGATCGCACCGAAGGAGAAGATTACGTGACTCGCGTTTATTATTACGTGAATTAAACAGTTCGAACAAACAAGCAATGATATAATTATTTGCTACTCGAAAAAGCGCACTGCTTAATAGCGCATATATTTGAACAATCAAATTGCTGCTATTATTGCATATATTTGATTTTCATTGAACGAGTAGTTTGGAAAAAAACATTTTGTACTGAATATTAAAATAGTAACTAAATGAAATCTTATTTGGGAGAGAAAAAAGAGCGCGGAGGCTTGCAAGCAACATAAAAAATGCTAGTTTAATATAATTCGTGCATTTTACACTGTAAGTAAATATTGATTCTAAGATGTTATTGTGCTTTCTCGGCATTGTATGCCTTAACGAGGTTTCGTTGTCTTTCGCCGCGTCTTGTTTCTATAGTTATATTAATATTGATACATCAGCAGCATCGCACGGAAATTTGCATAAGAACATCGTCATAGTGCATAAACGCGTCGACCAATGAAACGCCCGACGTAAGCCGCTGTATTGTACTGCAAAGCTTATACCGGGAGCCTCATTGGTCGGAGACGCTTATACGCTATGCTCTTATGTAAATTTGCTTGCAATAGGCTTTAGTTTACGCTTTTACTAAAGCACAAATGGCATTTCTCTTGGAAAAATATTCAGATGAAGGAGGCAACGTTTCTTGTCAAGCTTTATTTTTTCTCTAAATTCAATTGTTCTGTTACCGTAATTTCTATGTTCTATCTCGATGTAAAAAGAGAGAATATACAGCATTAACTTATACTTGCTAAAATTACTAAAAAAATACTTAAAATAAATAATAATGAAATAATAATAAATGAAATAATAATAAAATACTTAAAATTATTAAAATTATTTAAAAAAAATGTAGATATCTTTTACGTTAAAGAAAATTTTAAATTTCGAAAAGTAATTTTAAAGATGATCTCTGGATTAACTGCCATATAAACGCCGAGAAATAATCTAAAGAGAAAGATCTTCGTAGTGTATATTCTTTTATCATTGATAAAAGGTTTCGCAAAGACATTGAAAGACGAAGCAGGGACGAACCGTGAAAGTGTCGGCGCTTGTAAGTCGACTAATGTCCAAGGCGATGTCACCTTGATTCGCCCCGAGACATTGCCGTCGAGACATCTGGAAAACTTGCGAATTAAGAGATTCGTCGGCGACGCGAACGGAGGGGAGATCATTCGATTATTTCCAGCCATTAAGAGAACCCCTCCTCGTTCGGTCCCACTCCAACGTCACGAGGGTGAAACGTTTCTCGTAGCTTCTTTCCGAACTTTCGACATGAGTTTTACATTTCGCGTCTGGAGAAGGATGAAGAGGCATCGGAATGACGGTAAGGGAGAACGAGAGGCGTGCGTAGATGGCGAAATCGAAAACGGGGAAAGCGGGGAGAGCGACCCCCGTCGTGGATTCTTCTTCGCAAGCGGAAGGTGCTCTTGCGAGAGCGGGCACATTCAACCCTCCGTACGATTGGTATTCCGGTCCGGTGCACCAATATTGCGTTACCGAAACGCGTCGCGCAAACCGAATTTAAACGAGTACGAGCGTGACGACACGATGCCGCTTGTAAGTCACACCGCGGTGCGTGTCTTTTAATTCACACCACCCCGTTCGAAACAAACATCTCGAGATGAACGCGATTGAGACGTCACGTCCGCGTCGACCGATTCCTCTCAATTGGCAAGGGTTGCCGGAATTATAAAAAACTCTTGATGAACAACGGGGGGAAAATTATTTTTCGCGAGAGCTATCACAATTATCTATAAATTAAAACATACTTTATTATAGATATTACTACCGACAAGGTAAACTTTTTCATCGAATTACGTTATCTCAACTCTTATTTTACTCCCCATAAATAACGCACAGAAAAGAAATACATGCGAAAAAAATATTTCACGACAAAGGCCCGGCCAAATAATTAAATAATTTTCATCCAGTTCTATTTCCGGTTGCTCTCCGCGTATTAATTCTGCGAATTTCGATTATTAAAAGAACATCAAAGCGGAAGTGAATTGCTATTGTTACTCATTTTTAACCGGCGGAAATCCGAGCGAGAGAGTTAAACAGCATTACGTGCGGGTGTCTGGCCCGAGGGCGGACATCACAGAGAGGGTGGTCTCTCGCCGGTGAAAATTTTCAAAGGCTCGACATCGATGGGCTCTCGCTCGCGCGCATCAGAAGCGTGGAAGAACCCTTTCCGCAATTTCTCCGGTCGCACGGGCGCGGAATCAAGTGTTTGAGATTATGATGGTGGCTCCGGTCACGTATTTCATTAACCGTCATGCCGACAGTTCGGGGAGTTCAAGGGCGAGATTTCTGACGACGGAGGGTGCAGGTATCTACGAAATGTATTTGCTTTACGTTATATCCCTCGGGATGATCCTCTTATAATTATGAATGTCGTTGTTGTTACTATGGTAAGTATCAGATATACTGTTGTCAATACCGGTTTCATATCAATTCGTCGTTTAAGCAAAAACGTTTCTCCTCATATGTGGATATCTTTTGCTTATCAATTGAATATTTTCAACATTAAATCAACACTTTGTGAGACGAAAAGAATTAATAAACCCAGAAAATAAAAAGGATTATATATATCGCGATTAAAATAATTAATTTTATATATAAAAATGAGTTCTTTTATTATTACGTCAACATGTTACAAAAGTCAAAGTAAATATGACGATTTCATAGATAAATGTGATTAGCGGAGTTTCATTTAATTGGCATGCGATCACCCGTGTATAAATTAACGAGCAATTCCCTCTCAGATAATAAATTCCTTTATCAGAATGCGACAAAAGAAACGTTTCTCTATCCGCGAATCAAGAAGTCAATGTAAATCTGCGGCGGTATCGGCAGACTCGTTTGCGGCTACACGCTGTGCCGCCCCTTTGAAACGAGCAGCGACAGATTGGTATTACCATATTGGGAAAGGGACTAGACTCCTTATTTCCCTATCCTTTTGCCGCCGCGGGAAAAAAAAAGAGAGAAAATGGAAGGAGTGGTCGGCCCCTCTTTCTCTTTCTCTTCCGACATCTCTCTTCTTACTTCGATTCTCCATCTCGATCGTCTTTCCGGTACAACTCTCCGTCCCCTTTTCTTACCCCCGATACACTACCCCTTCCCCTCACGCTTTCTTTTTTCACGAGATTCTCGCATCCCTTTTTCCATCTCGGGCTCATCCGATTCTCGTCCACGAAGATTTCAATCTTGTTTGGTCGAGGCATCGACACGTCCCTCATCTTCCTCTCGATTTTCTCCGCAAACTGCGAGAAATCCCCTTTCCTCTCATAACATACATTTTTCCATCTCTTTCGTCCGTCTAGTTTTCGCTCATTGAACGGTGTCGGAGTGAAAAAGGACAGTCGACCTAGACGCATTCTATCATCGATCGCAAGCGATATATCAACCGCAGGCTCGGCGTTGAAGATTTTCGACAAGTTTTGCAAAAAATTCGCAAAACCCGTTTCTTTATCTCGAATAAACGACCCTTCGAGCTGTTATCTGCCTTATTGATACTCAAGATTTCGATATCGAATCGGCGAACGGCCGTCACAATCCAAGGGCCGAGTCTTTTTTAAAGAGTGGTTTCGCTCGGGTTGGACTCGAGCGTTGTTTCGCGGCCTTCATAGAGGAAAAGTCTTTTCCAGTCTATGAATACATTAGGAGCAAACAAAGGGCCGTCTCCCATAATCCCGCGACCCTTTTCCCTCTTTACTCCCCCCACCCCTATTTCTCCTCACTTTTCACTCTGGAGATGTTACACGCGTTTATTAAACCCGGTCCGCCAACACGCTTTCTTAAGCACTTTACGAGAGCCCGGACGAGTTCTTTCCTCTCGCTGTCCTGCGAAGGCTTGACGTTTCGCCCCTTTCCATTCTCTCGTCGCGGTATTATTGCAAGACAGATGCAATTAAAATCGCGTCTATAAGCGTCCATACAACTGCCCTAAAGCTGTATCGAGGTACATAACGCGAGATTTAATAATTATCGGAACGAATTTAGCATGTCTATCGCGCAAAGAAAATTAAAAAATATCGTAATCAATATTTAATAATTGCGATCGTAAAATATGTATTAATATGTATATGTTTTTTTCAGACTGAGATCTGTTCGAGCGCTCTTACGGACGTAATTCACGCGGTCATCAATGGAACGGATGGTTGTCTATTTTGTTTTGGACACGCTGGCTTAGGTAAGTTAACAAACACTTTTCTCGCGATGTTATATAATATTTTTTTCTTTATCGACTTCATATTTTTAAATAATTGTATTGATTTTTATTCCATTTGCAGTTTATATGTTTTTTTCTTTCCTTATCTGAGTAATATCAAGTTTATACGATATAATATATTGTATATTTGATTGCGCAAAACTCGTCGAAAAGCGTCGTAAAAATAATTACGTGAAATGTGAATATCTTGCAAAATTTTGATCTTATGGCTTTTATCTCTATCAAATGCAATATTACCTATTATGTTTATAGTACTTACTTGATATTATTATGATGTCTTATCAGTGAACACAGTGTTGTAATTGGAATCCTGAATTTCATCTGAAACAAAAAATTCCGATAGTTATGAAATAGAATAATCTCATTGCGGAACAAATTATATATGTAATAAATAATAATATATTTAAATTATTATTTTTATATATTTTAAAAGTGCCAAATATGTACATAGAATTTTGGTCAGACTCCAAAAATAATTCATTTTTTATTTCTAAAAAAATAACTAAAAAAAGTAAATTTTTTATTTATGGTATAGATAGAAGAAAATTGTAGAAACTAAAAAGTAGATTGATAAATCACAAGTTTGCTTGTCTAATCCAAAATTTTACAAACTATTTATTCAACAGTGATATAGATTTTTTACAGATAGACTTATATTATTTATAAAAGATGATTCATATACTGGTTCGCATATTCTCTTTGAATCGAGAAATAAATTATTCCAGAGAATATCGATGATATATACATATATATATCCTCTCTGGAGAGAAATGCCGCGAGAATTTTTTTCTTTATTCCTTATTCTTTATTTATTTAGGTGTTCTCTTCCTTCTGTTCGTTTCTTTTCGTTCTGCTGCTGTGAGAAACGCGTCGATAGAAGCGCAGAGTTGTTTTACATTTTAAGTAGTGATATCGAGTTTGCATGCAAATGCACGATTATGCGTGGAAAGTACACAGAAGGGAGGATGTTCTCGGGTTGTAATGTCGGTACGGAAAAGAGTGAGAAAAGGGAAGAAAGTAGAGACAAGGGGAGCGACAATGAGGAACAGTGAGGTGAGACCGGAAGGAATGGCGATAATGTATGCCACTGGGGCACACTCTCTCCCTCGTATCTTTCGAATTTTAATACAGCACAATCTAAGAGAGATCGAAATAATAATCCGTTGGTGAATATTTTTTTTCATTAAATCGTGATCGCGCATGAAAAATGTTCATTAAAATATTTTTGATATCGACTATAACTGGAATAAAGTTTTGATAAAACGCGATAGACGTCTACTGTCTACTCTCTCACAGGCGGTATCAGAACCAATTAAACTTCGTGGAATGATATTTCGTGGAATAATATTTCCGCACCGAGTTTCTTGTATATATTTCTCGCTGGAGAATTTTTTTAATATTTGATAGACAAGCACGTGAAAGCTTATATATTTAGATAAATAAGATAATATAGTAATTAAACACGCGGGAAGAGATCGCATTATTACAACAATTGAATTGTTTCTCTCTCGCATATAAATTGCTATAGATATGGTTATATAAAATAATCGTGTTCTCAATAGTTACCTCTAAGGTCGCGCAAATAAAATGTCTATGTCCATGAAGAAACCACATTTCTAAAATTGGTTTCAGAATAAAGTAAATTTACAGTTTTTTTTTAAAGCGCGGCTTTTAGCCAGCTTCCATCGTTCCCGGACTGATATGGTTTCATAATTCATGGCGCCTTGAGAAATCGTCGGCCTTCAATATCGAAGTTTGCGCAATCGAGCGGGATTTCTTGCGGCGCACGAAAAAGGAATCGATAAAATCAAAAATAAAAGGAAGCGCGTCGGAAAGATAAGAGAGCCCAACGACCGTAGACAAAGAACCGCGCAAAAAGAAGCCAAACGAATTCACGTAGTATCTTCCCTTTCTCTACCTAAAATACTTCAGGCAAGTCCGCGAGCAAACTGCTTTTGATCATCTCCACGCGAACATTTCTCTCTTCCTTTCTCGCTGCTTCAGCTCCTCGCTCTCTCCTTTTTTCATCCCTTCTACATCCAGATTTTTTCTTAACTCCTTACGCCATCATCCTCTGAGACGAAAAAGAAGACGAGAAAGAGGGACTGACCGCAGTTATATAGAATAGTGAAGGGATAAAAAAAGCAAGATGGAAACTAAGGGAAAGGCCAGATTTGCATGAATCTGCGAGAAAAGGAAGGAAAAAATACGAGAGATAAAGGCAATCCAATGAGACCGGCGATATTTAAAATAGTGTCCAGAATATGCTGTTTTTTATTTCGCACGTGCGATGCATATGTCGATGCAACTAATTGCATCTCGCTCGCGTGCACATCTGTCATTCGCGGTCTGAAAAATTGTATGCGGAGAAACTACGAGGGAAGAAGGACTACAGAGGATAAGCGAGACGGTGCCGAGAGAAAGAAGGGCGAGAAATGAGAGAGAGAAAGAAAAAAAGAGAGAGAGAGAGAGAAGGGGAAGAGAAGGAGACAGATTCGCGCTCTCAAAGCAACGGGACTTGTTTCTTGCGAAAGGACAGAGGGCGAGTAGAGAGCTGTAGCGCATATAGATATAGCGACGACAATGGGCCCGTTTGTACTTTGTAGCGCGTTCCTAATTACCCCCGCGCGACGGACACCTCGTCGAACCCTTTGAGATCGCGGAAGGACCGTGAAAGTGGATTATGCAACAACGAGGGGAAGAAGCACGCGTGCTTGATGCACCGAGATTTCCCTCTCGTCCCTTTTTCAAAAACGGCGCTTGACAATGATAACCTTAGTAAGCGATTCAGTCAAAGGAACCACGCGCTTCTCTCTCGGTTCTGTTCTACATAACCGCGGAAGGGTTTATTCGGTTCTTGTTAATTTCGTGTATATAAATTTGTAATATCGGTATGAGAAACAATACATATATACATGTATATATATTAAATTTCTTTTATAATTAATTATGCGGGATGTATCGGAAATCGTAACACAAAGCGAAATGGAGATGATTCCTCCTGCAAATGCAAGTCTAAAATATAGAATAAAATATTTTCATACAGATTTCATTTTTTTTTTCGAAAAAATCGCTTTTCCGTTACCAGAAAAAAAAAATATAGTATGAGTAAGAATGCGAAAACTACAATAAACACACAATCTACCATAATCTAATATTGATCTTGATATTTTTCTCATATAACAAGGTTCTCGTGTGGAATTTTAATTATCACTCTCATTCGTTTCAAAAGTATCCATACGAGAAAGCATCGTACCGGTCGTCTGAGAATGCAGCGGCTATCGCTCCGTTTTTCTGCCTCATCGTCAGTGGCCCCGCGAATCTCGCGGCGGCATAGCGCGAATTCTTGCGGAATTTTTGCGGTTCGACTGTTCGAATCTTTCCGACGAAGCGCGAATTCTCCGAAGCGAAATCAGCCATTGAGAAAAGTTCTCGAGATGCGGTTCCTTACCGATGAGATGGCTCGACCCTCTCTTTCGCCGTGCTTCTAATTAAATAACAACATAATTCACCGTCCTACATTAAGACAATTAAATAACGTTTAAGATTCAACGGCGGCTGCTGCTTTTCCATTATTCCGCCGTTGCCGACCAGGGCCTCCCTTCGCCTGGATCTTACGCCTTTCGCTTCAACCTCTCGTCCTTCCGTATCGTAATACCCCCTGCCATAAGTCGTCTCCGCTCTCGTCGGACTATTTTATGATTTTAATAAGAGCTCTTTTATTTCTCTGTCAATAGAAGAGCGTTTGAGCTCGGTTTTCAATTTCGCCGAAACTTTTGCGCCGAAGGTTTCGCAAAGTATACGTCGTTATCGTAATTCATGCTAAAATCACCATTAAATATATAACCGGACCATTTTTCTGCAAATTATATTTCGTTATTGTTGCTAATAAATTAATTTTAATATTTATTTTGCGCCGTTTAACCGAGAAGCAAAATAATCGATCGATAGTTTTATCGTTCGTCTATTTCCGCATAATCCTCGGTTGTCATTCTAGCCGTTACATTGTCGTTCACTAAATAGTAAACAAATTAAGCGGCTCGCTCGGACCCGACCGCAAATCTGGCATCGCAATTATTGCACCCATCCGGCTCGCACGCCAGCCATGTACATAAACGGGATTTTCGAACTCGTCCATGTGAATTGATTCGTCGCGACACGCGAGGGGGAAAATCGCGATTATGCCAATCAACAATGAAGCTTGTCCACATACCGGTTGCACAGGCGGCACCGGTTACGGGCGTTAATACGATCCCTACGGCAATAAATCCGTCAGTCTGGCAAGAATCATTCAAAATATTAACTTTAACCCGCCATCGCGCGTTTCTCTCGACAAAAAAACGAATGTCCAACTATTATGACATTTTTAAATATTTTGTCTCGATAGTTTTTAATTAGAAATCATATTAACTATAAGTATAGAAGTATATATATAAATCGAAAAATATTTAAATCGCACACGCGAATTTTATAGAATAAACAGTATAAGTGGACAGTGTTGTACTGTATGTAAACTAGTTATAATTAATTCAAATATAGCGGTGCATAATTTTCATCTACGCCATTTGCATTTACATTGCACGCTTAAACGCTGAACATTTCTGCTCTCTATGATGTAATCCCGCGTTTACATTGCCCGTAATCAGTAAGCATTTTCTCGCAATGTTTAATACAAGCGTTTTCTTTGCTCTTATTCAGGCAAGTCTCACACTATGTTGGGAACTCCGGAAGCTGGTCATACACTGGGCGCAATTCCTTGTGCCATTGCGTGGCTCTTCCGCGGAATTTCTGAACAACGACAGAGAACCGGCGCTAGATTTAGCGTCAGGGTCAGCTGCGTAGAATTGACCACCGGTCAGCAACAATTGAGAGACCTGCTTGCAGCGCACGCGAACGGTAAGTAATCTTCCAATTAGTCGCGAGGTATCCTCGCGTGAAAGAGAACAAACTTTTTGTTCACATTTCTTCGTTCCTAATTAATGTTATCCACTTAGCGCCAATCTACTACAAATGGCGTATATATATTCGCTAGAACTCGATTATACGAACACTTGTTTTTACTCCTTGAAAGAGAATAAGAAATTCCTATCACGACTTATACAAAATTACCAAGAAATAAATGAATTAAATTTTTATCGACCGATGCTTAATTTAATAGGAAACTGGACATACATAAAATTATAAAAACAATGAATCAAAAATTTAACAATGCAACAGAATAGATTGCATTAGTGCGTATTCATTAATCATTATTCAATAAACATAGCGCTTCGTATAATATTGTTAATGGATTTTTTATCTGATTAAATCGCACTTTGATTTCTAATCGAAGAAATTTGCCTTAATCATTTGTTTAAAACTATCCTTCTTTTCAAGAGAGAAGATAGGAGATGATAGAGTCTCTTTCACAGACAGAACCTAATCTGCTCTAACATTCAGAAGCGCGAAACTATCTCGAGCGTTTTCGCTGTCTCGTGAAAGGAGAGTTCGGCATTTCCCGCAATTAATTCGATGTTTCGAACAATGCGGCTAGATATAATTGTTTAGATTAATTAATGCCGTAGAAGGGCAGCAATGCTAGACGAATTATGTGTAGTCGCCACCGACGCTGTATTATATCCATTGTATAATACTCGCGCGATAATTCCATAGATTTTCAGATCATGGTTTCTAATCGCATCTAAACTCACAATGATTCTCACGTAATCAGGATTAATACGCGCCGCGACGAATACAATCATAGATTAATATATTTGTTTCGATTGTAGTCGGTGTCGAAATAGTAAAGACAAATTCTGGTTGCATGTATACACATACATTGAAAATTTTCATGTAAATCAGTATACTAAAAAATATTGTGAATATTGTATAAGATCGCATAAATTTTATTTTTTATTATACGATACTTTTTGAGATGCAAACTCTACGAGACGATGCTAAATAAAAAAATATTCCTTTATCTCGTTCTCTGGAGGATCGTCAGGAGAACGGCCAAGAACATTCCCTCGAAAATACGAACATTTCATGGCTATGATCGAGTTTAAAGACAAAGCACGGCCGGACCGGAGCCACGTCGCGTATAGAATTCTCCACGGAAATTGCAATAGCTCGCACGTTCCATTTGCCTGATACGCACACTCGTTCCGACTTGATCTCCGACGTCTCTGAATCGACGAAAACCGGTCGTGCGGCCGATGCTCGAAAGTACGGAACGTCGAAATTGTCTTCTCTCGATCGACAATGATGCGCGGAGAATTTCGCGGTAATATTTGGGAAGTAGAACGAGACTCGGTATTGGCTGCAATTTGATTTCGTCTTCATGGACGGCCAAGTGGACGATTTGATCCGTAAAATTGAAAGACAGGATTATTTTCTCCATCTATTTCATGTTGACCGCTACTCCTCTTCCCTTTCAACAACTCTCTCTCTCTATTACTTTTATTATCTGTTTCTTTTTATGTCATCTCGAGGAATCATCAAGGACTCGCTGGACTAATAAAGAGTCGTTTCTTTGGAGGGTGGACTGCTATAGTGTACTTGTGGGAATGATCGTCAAGGACATTGCCCTGAAAATTAACGGGACTGTCTGCTCTAGAGTATCTTCCTTCTTGCTCCACAAATGGGATATATAAATTCGCGTAATATTTCTCTGATATTGGACATCACACGAATTATAATTTAATTTAATGAACTGAATGTATAATTCAAATAAATGTTTTTAATCAGACATTATAAACTTCCAAAATCTCTCTTTCACTCTCTTTATAAATATTAATCAATGAATAAATATTAATATATTCTCAATGTGTCTACGATTTAAATTTTCACAGATTTTGAAATTATAAATACAAAAATTCGCCACATAGTTTCGAACATGTACGCTAAAATCTAATTTCCATGTCGCGAGACACTCCTGGGGATTTTGCATTCACGGAAATTAAGACGTTTATTAGTATAACCGAATCTTCCTTGAGTATGTGCGATGCACGGCATTTTGCGTAAAACTCACATTGGACAAGTCGTTTGAATGCTGGCTTAACGATCACGCCAAGCAGCTTTCCGCTTTCTCTGGAGCTACGGACTAATTAAAATGCGATGGAATTAATTTTCCAGCTTATTAAATAATTAACTCGTATCTATAGAGAACTATCTTGACTTCGTAAATCTATCCTTCCCCCTTCGCCCATCTTTTACTTTTCTTCTCTCTTTCTTCCTCCGTATCTTATTTCAACCGAAACTCAATGGCGTAAAGAATTTTTGAAAGGTCTACTAGCAAAGAAATTCATAGGCTCTTTAATTATTCATCTCTGATAAAAAATTAATTTGCTCTTCAATTTTTCGAGCTTCGTAATCATTTTAAATAATAATATGATAATGTACATAAAAAATAGAATAGAAAATACATGCAAATAACCAGTTCTAATCTTTTACTCTTTTCTTGTGTGCATATCTTTATTTTTATTTTATCTTACTTTTCTTTATCTTGTTCGTCTGACTTTTTTCTTTTCTTCCTTTTTTTTTCTTGTAGCTTTTTCTACCTCTTTTCAGTCTGCAAGGACATTAGTTACGCCACTGCCGGATGCTGCAACCAGCGCGTTTTGCGCTCAAGATTTAAGTCGAGTATAGCAGCACCCTCCAAGAGTTCGCGTTTTCCCCAGGAAACTTGATAATCCCGCCCGGTAATTATTTAAAGTTTTCGACGTCTGGATCTTACGCGGGTACCTCTGACAAAAGGGGGAGAGTGTCTCCGAACGAAGGTTTATCTTTGTTATTTCTAACTGTATGCAATGGAATATTTAATTAACGCCCTAATACAATAATAGAGGCAACTTGCGGTGGAATATTTAATACTTAACCGAGCTTAAAACTAGAATAGCTACTTCTTCGCACCGGCTGTTAATAAATAAATGCATTCATAAGTGAGTAACTTGGTTCTCTCTGTCGATTTACATATTGGCTGTTACATACATATTGTCTAAATAAAGCCTTCATTATAATTTAAATATGCATGCTCACCATTAATATTAAAAATGTCAGAGCTCTTTTTTCCATTAGCGCACATATAAATTATTAATGTGTAAATGATGAGTTGCTCGAATTGATACTAAAAGCGTATTTACTAGTTTATTATATTTAATATGAATTTATATTAAATTTTAGATTCCCATTAAAAAAAAATCATTGTACAGACAAAAGTTATCGTACCTGATTATTATTGCAGAGAATCCTTTTAAAGAACATTTATAAATTACTATAGTTTCATCGATGTCTCTGATTATTTCATAATGTGATTATTTCGTGATATTCGGCAGTTAAGTATATGCAATAGAACCAAATTTACAATAACATTGTAGAAGAGATAATACACATATCAATAAATATGTATCGATCGACGATGCATAATACTAGAAAAAAAACGGCAATACGCATTCGCGTAAATATATTATAACTCGATATTATAATCCGCGTAACGCCTACATAAAAACAATTTTCCCTCATACAACGGCAAAATAATTCCGAGTATCACGCTTCGCTTTTATATTCATATATAAGCTGTTGATCGAAATAAACCGGAATTTCCGAGTAGGAAAGTGGTAGACAGGGTGATTCAGAGTTACCCTTTAAATAATTTATCATTATATTAAAATATACGATTGCACCGAAACATCAATGGTTCAATATCATTGATAATAACAGTGCTAAAAGTATAATGCATTTCTTGTAACCTGTAATAAATCAACTAAAAACTTCAAAATAAAAATGAGCAATAAAAATAAATTATTATATTGCACATAGTTAAATATAATTATTTTTTCGCATAATATTTTTAATACATATCTCTTTTATATTTTATTAATATCATTGTTATTAACAGTGAATCTTTTAATTTATGTAAAAATATTGATTTTGATTTGATTCAATATAAATTATTAAAAATGCTCTATTCTTTTTATCAAGATTTCAATGAATTTTTCAATGAAAATACTACCAACGTTCCATCGTTTATTCGAAAATTGAAAGAGATAGACTTTGAATCACCTTATACAGATCCCCGTGTGGTGAACAGAGGATTTCATCCAATCGTATTCATTTTAATCGGCCGTCATGCATATCAACGAACGGAGTGGCAAGCAAAAGAAGAGAATCGAGGATATTTTCCGCCGGTTTCCATCCACTCGTAGCGAGAGAAAGCTTGCGATAATTCTCACCACCCGTTACTGTTTTATATTTCTCTCACGTATCGGTCTCACGGAGATAAGAACGAAAGTAGAGAATAATAGTGAAGAAACAAAACGTCGAAACGCCACGTCGGCAGCTTTTAATGTGTATGACATACAAGTGAAAAAAAGTGTGAAAAACTTACGAATTGAAAGAAAGAAAGAAAGGAAGATAGAATAGAAAATGCGACGCAAGATGAAAGGAGATTGCTACACATTTTGCATTTCGTGCTTTCTTGATTGTATACAGAATGCAACAAATTCTCTGTCTACTATGTCTCAGATGAAATGTGAAAAATCACTATTCAACTCGACATGAGATCGATCTATTTCGGACAAAAAAATAAAACTCCATTTTCTAGAAATTGATAAAGCTCTTTTTTATAGAGAATTCGGGAAAAGACATTAATACATACAAATATTAGCTGCAGTATTAATGACAATTTAATAAAATTTCGTATCATATGTAAAATTTATTATAAATATTACAAATATTAAAAAAAAGTTGTTTCTCTTTTTTAATTATACTGTTATATATTATTGCTTTTATAAATGTAAAGTTTAATTACTTTGTATATTTTCTCATATTTACACGACACAAACAGTAATTAAATTTTTTTAACTTTTTATCAATGTTGAATTTTGATCAATATTAAATTAAATTTTTTTGATCACAGA